TATGTAAAAGAAAGTCGTTTTAGTTACACTATTATAATTCAAGAACGGCTGAACCAATTTGGCTGAAAATTGGTGGGGAGGTAGCGTGGAACCAGGAGACGGACATAGAATACATTTTATCCCGTTCCCATGGAAAAAAAAAAACGTGGTATAACAAAACGCAACTGATATAAAATAACAAATCGCAACTGACAGCTAAAAACGTAATTTTGTCTATGGTTACGTATGGTGTTTTATATATAGTGCTACCCTGAAACTTGGCTTTAATGCTTTTTCATATAAAATTAGTGACATATATACCTATTTCAACATTTTACAAAATTCTACCTCTTTAGGAAGCTGAAAGGGGTTTGCAAAGATTGCATGTTAGTTTTTGGTCCGATTTACTTGAAACTGGTTAAAAAATTCAATCTCTGTTGGGGTGGATGAGTGATGAAGAGGAGTTGCAATGTTTAAATGGAACGTATATTATTTGTGGTCAGATTTACTAGAAACTTGGTTTTAATGGTCTCTTATTTATTTCTGAAAGACTTATCTCGACAATTTAAAAAATTCAACCTCCAAAGAGGGGAAGGGGTAAAAAGGTGTTGCAATTTTTGTTTGTGATATTTGTGGTTGAATTTACTTGAAATTTCGTATATATGCTGTTTGATATTATTAATCAAATGAAAAGTGGTTGCAACGTTTCCATGGGTTGTATATTATTTGTATTCGGATTTACTCGAAGGTTGCTCATTGTTGAAATTAAGCAAATACCTGTTTTGGCAATTTTTAAAAATTAACCCTTAAGGATGAAATGTTGCTACGTTTGTATTTGAAATCTAAGATGGCGACATTACATAAAATTAAAACGTTGTAAGGGTGAATTGGGAGTTAAAAGGTATTATGGAGAAACAATATTANTGTTTGATATTATTAATCAAATGAAAGGAGGTTGCAACGTTTTCATAGGGTATATTTTATTTGTATTCGGATTTACATGAAGGTTGCTCATTGTTGAAATTAAACAAATTCGTGTTTTGGCAATTTTTAAAAATCAACCCTTAAGGATGAAATGTTGTTGCTACGTTTGTATATGAAATCTAAGATGGCGACATTACATAAAATTAAAACGTTGTAAGGGTGAATTGGGAGTTAAAAGGTGTTAAGGAGAAACAATATTAATTTCTGCGAGCAAATACGTGTTTTGGCAATTTTTAAAAATCAACCCTTAAGGATGAAATGTTGTTGCTACGTTTGTATTTGAAATCTAAGATAGTGCAGTGAGTATTTCGA